GTTCAGAATATGTAAGAGAATTGGGTCATTAGCATATCAGTTAGAGTTGCCAGAAGAGCTGAGTCTGATTCACAACACTTTTCATGTGTCGAATCTACGGAAATGTTTGGCCGATTCAAGTCTAGCCATACCGATACCAGAGATTCAATTAGACAGTAAGCTGAATTTTGTGGAAACACCAGAAGCTGTAATTGACCGAAAGATTAAGGTGTTGAGAAACAAAGAAATAAGTCTGGTTAAAATTGAGTGGAAGTTTCACAAAGGACTAGAAGCAACATGGGAACTAGAGTCAAAAATGAGATCAGAATACCCTTGGCTCTTTGATTAAAGGAATTTCGGGACGGAATACTTTTGAGGGATGGATAATGTGATAACTGGATCTTGGTTATCACCCGAGGTAATAAATACATGATTATTTGTTACAAAATGTTTATGTGACATCATGATAAATTTGGTTTATTTAATCATGCTAGTGTATAAAAATTATGTGCATGTATATGTGATTATACACACATGCATGGTGTGTATGTGTATGTAGCCGACCTTTCCTGTTTTGGAAAGGTATAAAAGGAAGCTTTAGTCTTCATTGCTTTTGCCTGCCAAATTGAGAGTTAAGTGAGCGATTTAAGAAAAGATAAAGAGTTGACCGAATTGCAAGTGCCTGATTTCAAGTGTTTGGTTTCAAAAAGCTTATTAAGGTGAGTGATTTCTAAACCTTTTTACATAAAATTTGATACTGGTTTTATTGCAATGTTATTTATTATTGGAATGAAATCAGTTATTTGTTCAAGTGTTTTATCCGGACAAAGGCTGACCGGATTAAGTTTAAATCGGACAAAGCTTGTCCGGATTATTTGTAAATCGATCAAACTTTGGGCGATGTATTGTCCGGACTTTTATCTGGACAAAGTTGTTGAAATTTATTCTAAGTGTTAAATCGGTCAAGTGTTGGGCGATTAAGTCTTAAATCGTTCAGGTGTTGAACGGTTTAACCTTAAACCGGTTATGTGTYAAGCGGATTAAGATTGGTTATCTTTTTGAACTAAGTATGAATAGGACCATATGGTGACCGGATTATTTTAAATCGGTTGAGCTTTGGGCGATGTATTGTCCGGACTCTTTATCCGGACAAAGTTGTTGGAATTATTCCAAGTGTTAAATCGGACAAGGCTTGGGCGATGAGTTGTCCGGATTTGGTAAACCGGCTAAGACTTGACCGGAGATGAAGTCCGGCCAAGCCTAGGTTGACCGGATTTGTTTTATGACTTGTGCCTGATTGATAAAAATTGTTACTTTATCATAAAATGAAGGTTTGATATAAATGATTTTGGATTAATAATAATTCCATTGGCTGCGGTCTATTTGGAATTGTTTTATGAAAAGTTTTGATGAGGAAATAAGGGTGGCATATCAAGGAGAGGTGTATCATGGGATAAGGGTGACATATTAAGGAGAGGTGTACCATGAGATAAGAGTGTCATATCAAGGAGAGGTGTACATTTGATATAAGGGTGACATTTGTATGTGTGTTGTATGATATAACTCTTTCTATTATATCCCTTAAGATTACCGTGGTCTGGAATCTTTATTTCTTTGTGATTTAAATATTTAGAATCAAGGTTCTTATTGAAAATCATAGTCTGGATGTTATTGAGGAGAAAACATCAGGTTTGGTCTGAAACTTTATATAAACCTTATTTGATATGAGAAGGTTTAAAAGTGGCATTATATGAAGCCTAATTGGTTTAGAGGTATGAGATTTGAATAGCTACATGCTTTGCGTGAAAAGTGGAAAGAATCTGGTAGTATGTTCCTATTTGTTCATATATTTGTTATATATATGAAATGTTGTTTTCCATAAAGATTTTGGTAATTTTCACCCTGCAATAACATAAATAAGGTATCTCACTAGAACTTTCGGTCTAACCCTCGTTTTGTGATTTTAACTATGTATTGCAGGAGGTTCGGACTGTAAGGAAAAAGGGAAAATATGATATTTTCCTATATGCATTTCTGCTTGAAAATCTGTAGTGATGTACAGTTTTGATTGATTAGTACAAGAAATGTATTTGAATTTTTGAACTTTGTATTTGGTCATGTTAGATTCTTGTACTAAGGGACCTGAATGAGATAATATCATGTATTTCTTTTGTATAAAATATGTGTTATATATGCAATTTGTGTTTTGGGGCGTTACATGTATAAATTCAAACCACACATTAAAAAATATCAAAAAACACCTTTAATGTTATTATAATCTTAGTAATAATAAAATAATGTATCTTTTATTATGATATTCTTTTTGTTATTAAAACACAATTATTATAATATATAATTAATTTTTATAATCAATAAATAATTATCATTTATAATATGTCTGTATACTTCAATTACCAGTATCAAGTATAGTTATCGAGATAATTTTGATGCACATATTTTTCTCTTTGATAATTTTGCAAGTTTTTCCCTTTAAAATCTTTTTACCGCTTAATATCCAAGTAAGAACATATCTTTATTAAATAGTTGTATTAATCTTTTGTTTCTGATTACAACAAAACTTTACATTTGACCATAACATATTCCAAAAACAATGTTATTTTTGACAGACTCTTGTTGATTTTGATAACATTGTGAGAAACCAAAAAAACTTTGCAGACATCAAAACTGATACCAATAAAGTCCTACACAAGAAAACTCTTGGAGGTTGAATTTTGATTATTTGCAGATTATCTAGAATAAGAGGGAGAGAAGTTATTGAGAAGAAAGCATAGAGAAATGATTTCAATAGGTTCAACATCATGCATGTAGGTCAATCTTACATTATATAGTCGCACTATCTACACTTAATATTCACTCATAAACTATTTTATGTTTTTAAGATGATGTATGTTAAAAAGGCTAATCTAGCATTTTGTAGATGCAATACATCATGTCCTTTTACATAGTTCTATTTTGATAAGTTCGCCTTAGAGTTTTTTCTTGTTTGAAAAGTATAACACTATGATAATTTTAATGTTTACAAATACCGTTGATATTTCAAAAATGGGATGAAGACTGAAGTTGTCAAAACAGTCCTCAAATTCTTTTGAGATTTAAAGATGAACTGTAAAAAAACCCAATTTGATGGATGATTTTTATAGGATTCAACTTTCGTATTTCTCATTTAGTTATCAAAATATCATTTTACTTGCAAATAACGTCATAATTTAAAGGGTAGAACATTTTATAGATAATTAATTAGTTTTTTATTTACAAGAAATTTTTTATATTTAGCTGCATTGCAGCGAGTACAAAACTTGTGTGTGTGTGTATATATATATATATATATATATATATAGATTGATTATTATTGTTATGTTTTTAATAGTTATGTGATACTGACTGTTGAAGATCCTAGTTCAGGGCTTGTAGGTTTGACTTGGAGGTCCTGTTTAAGAGCGCGTCATTCAAACACACCAGAGGATTGATTAGTGTTGCACAACATCTACGGATGGTAGGTTCACAATTTTTAGAATTAAATTTGATGAATATTTTGTATAAAATATATTATCAGCGTAACATCGACAATTTTTAGCAATTAATTTCATATTAACAACGACAAAATTATCTATTTACTCGTTTCAGTAAACTTTTATACACATATGTAAGACCACTTTTAAATCTTTAAACATTAATCTGTCTGGATAAATTAAGATAAATAGGTGTTTGGGATTGCTTATTTTAGGGGCTTTTTGACTTATTTTAGTCTGGCACTGGTGATAAACTAAATGCTAGTGTTTGGACGAGGAAAAATAAAACTTCTTATGTCAATGCCAAACCGGTAATAAGCAGTTTTTGATAAGTTAATCTATCCTGATGGCTTATGAAAAACTGCTTATTACCGATTTACCATTTTAACCCTGTTTTATTAATGTTTGTTAATTATTAATCTTATTGATATAAATTTTTGTCAAATATATTATTATAAATGATGAAAAATAAATTTTTACATGTTAAATAATAAAATAAGTTAATAAAGTATCTCAAACACTCCCATAAGTCAATAATGTGGAAGACTGTCATTTTTGGTCATTTTACATATATATGCAAAATTTTCCAAACACTAAAAACAACTTATCAACTTATTATTTTTTTGCTACAGCTATAAGCTAATTCAAACACTTTTTACAGAACTCCGGTTTGATACCACATAAGTTAATAAACACTTTTATAAAAAAACATAATTTGTTTTAAATAAGCAATCTCAAAAACCTTCTGAACTTAAAATATATTTAAAACAATAAAATATTATTGTTTTATTACAAATTTTAATGTGTGAATGTTGATAAACTATTTAATTTTTTTTAATGAAATGTGTGATTAAAAATTATAGGACAAGTGTAATTTTGAAAAAAAAATATAACTTAATGTTTTAAGATAAGATGAGGTAACTTAACATGTTAAGTCAATTTCTTAATATTAAATTAAAATCAAACACGTTAATATAACTTAACCAATTAAATTAATCTCTTATTAAATTTATTAGGGGTTGTTTACTAAAGAAAGACTTGGTAGAATTTCTCATCAAATAAACATGAGAAGAGTCAAGAATTTTACTGGGTAAGAGCGATGAGAATGATGGAGAGTCTTATCCGATAAGTAAGGATGACGATTATTACCCATGTCTTACCCAATAAATTGTTACATATGATATGTTTTAATATACTAAAATCTTACGCATCAAAATAAATTATAATGTTGGCTTATATAAAAAAACGCTTATCTGATAAATAATTGGGTAAGTTGAAAATGGTTATCCAAAATAAGCCCAACAATTATATATATATATTCTGAAAAAAAAAAAACTTCAACTTATTCGTGATCGATCTTCTCTTTTTTTACTGGGGGGTGAGAAACCCTATATACTCAATCAACGGTGCCAACGAATGGGTTGAAATTTTAGGGCTCAATTTTCCCTCTAAAAATCACATTTGATTATCCCCAATTTCACCACTTTCCCCAAATTTCCCTCCACTTCTCAAACTAACCCTGATTCTACTCCCTTTCGCTAGGCACTAGTGAAAATCTCTTTGATTGCTTCACGTTTTCCTGTAATGTTTCTACTTTTCAATTTTATTCAATGCTTGATTTTAATTTTTCCAACTATGAATCTTCGTCAAATTTATCTACTTTTGTGAATGAATTTTGAAGTCAACAATTTTGTTGTGATTTCGAGTGCAGGTAAGATAACATGGGTGATGATGATAACGGTAATGATAAATCGTCCGAGACGGATGCTAGTACTTGGGATTTTGACGGTCAGGAGACTCAGATTTTTGATAGTCAGTTTTTCGATTCTCCAACTTCATCGCCTGGTAAGATGTTTTTTTTTTCTCTTACGGAATCTATTTCAATTAAATTGAACCGTAATGCAGTTTTTTCTTTCTTTCTGTTTTGGATGTCTGGATCATTATCCTCTTGAAGGGCATAATTTCATTGATTTCATGTTTGATAGGATTGCCAAAACATTTAATTCCCCAGTATTTTAAAAGTTATCCCTTATTTGGAACATTCATTTCTTTGTGCATTTTATGTAGTATTTGGTGGTTTAAAATGTCTAGCATGCAATTCTAGGTTAAATGGCTTACTAGGTGAATGGTCCTTGTTCATAACGTGGTGGATGCAATTGATAGGTTGAAAATGAGTAGCTTGTTAAAAAGAATTCTTGCAAGCAACTTACAAGTTTTAAGTGGTGAAAATCTTTTTTTTTTTAGAGGAAAAGCTCCAGGCAATATTATAAAAACAAGCAAAAACTACAAGAGTTCAGGCAAACCGCCACAACCAACCAAGCAAACAAACAAGAAAAAACTTGGTAACAACACCAAACCAAGCAACGAGCAACCAAAAGGTACAAAGGCCACAAGATCTAAACAAACTAGAGAAAAGGATGTCGAGAAACCTCCTCCAAAAACCTATCCAAAAGCCAAACAACTCTAAGCCACCAAGAGCTCCATCACGAATCAGCGTTGATGATCAACCCTTGCTTCTTTTTGTTTTTCCAAGCCTTACTCATTAAGATTTTCCTTCTAATCTCCTTAACAATTTGCATTACTGTTCTTTTCTGAGGCGTAAATATTCTTCTATTTCTTTCCTGCCACACAAAGTACACAGAAGCAGCTAGAGCCAATTTATGGACAAGTGTTTTTGGCGATTTCTAAGAATCCGAAAGAGCCGCCATTATATCATCCCAAGACTCCAGAAATCCCATCCAATCAACATCCCTTCGCACTCTTCTCCACACCTCTATCGAAAAAACATATTCAAAAAGTAAATAGTTGTGAGAGTCTTTGATGATTGATAACAGAGAATGTGATGAGACTGTACTAACTAATACTTTCTACTCTGTTATTGTCCATTATATCTTATAAAGTTACAAATAATAAAATGCCATTATGGAATGTTTATCCATTCATTTAGTTCATGTGTCATTTTCATTTTGTAGGTCCCATTTCCTTGATGCAAGGAGAAAAGGAGGTGGGACCCTGAAATTGGATGTGAGAAATGGAAGAAACATTATAGATGATTACATGTATGTTTTTTGTCTCCCTTGACAATGTGATATACATAGTATTGTCAAGGTCGGGGGTACTATTGCACTTGGTTTATTCACAAGAATATCTGTTGCAAGCTTGTTTTGAAGTATATACTATATACACACAGTCACACACACATATATGTAAATATATACGGCAAATGAAACTCAAACACACTCGCCACCTTTGGTGAGGTTGGAAACCCTTGACTTCTAGGAAGGTTGGGTTTCTGAATACTGCTAGGCAAAGGCCCTTTGGTTGCTAAAACACTTTATATTAGTTGGAGATTCTTAATTATCCTTCTAATTGAAGTCATCGTAGTGATGAGCAATGCAAAGAGACAAAGAAAACAAGCAGTTCAATATCTTGTTATTTATCATCTTTGCATACATACATGAATGATATAAAAGGATATTTTCTAGCTTTTGGTTGAAGCATTTTCATGATTGATTCCTTTCTCTTGAATAATTTAGGTAATAAATTCAATGGTGATGATGCTGACGAGTTCCACACTCTACATGGTACTATTCCTTTTGATGACATTGTCATGTTTGAAGATGAGTTAGCGACCCAAGTTATGGACCCTGATGGTGAAACCCAACTGGTTAACCTTGGTTGTGAGACCCAAGTGGTGAACTTTGATGCTGAAATTGAAGTGATGGACTTTCCCGATTTTGTTGAACAGAATGGCACTCAGTTATTTAACGATTATGATACTGAAGAAGTTGTAGATAGTGATCATGAAGGAACTGAGAATACTCAAGTAGTGGATGAGTCTGATGAGCTGTCTGTTGAAGATTCTGGTAGGAGAGCATCCACTAATTCAGCAGACCTAGAGCATACACAGCATATGCGTCAATGCAACAAAGATACAAATGAATGCAAGCCAAAAATGGATTGTGGAAGGAGTGAACAGCAAACTTCAGGTAGTTGGTGATATTTTTTCTGTATCCATGACTTTTTATGTTCTGTATTGATGTTTTTCTCACATGATGTTATGTTATTCTTGCTGAGACTTGACAGGAGTAGGTTTCAAGACATTTACCTCGATTCGTGCAGCATCTATGAGGGCTTCTGGCCTGGCAGCTCTCAACAAAGCTTCTCAAAGAAGTAAGAGTCCATCTTGTTCTACTTTATGTTCAGAACCTGACATTGAACATAGAAGAAAACTACTTGGAAGAAGTCCATCTCATGACCTGGAGAACCACAAATTATTTGATGGACCAGAAACTGGGAATAGGTGTCGATTTGGTAGGGCAACTGCAAGGAAACTTTTTGCTGAGGATGCACAAACTGAAACTAAAGAGCCAAATGACAATGCGAAACTTTGTGTAGAAGCTAATTCACATATGTGTTCTGGTTTGGAGACTGAGTTGGCTGGATTAAGCTATGTTGATTCTCAAGAACCTGGAGAGGCATCACAAGCAAATGCACTTGACTTTGTGGACAACTTTTTGAAAGTCAATATTGAGTGCAGTGATGAACGTGACATTGGCAAGTCTACTGGGGGCAAAGAAAACCCTGTTTTAAGTGCTAAAGGGACTCAAACTTTGGCCAAAAGTGCTAATCTTATCAATGCAGTTGGTGAGAGAGGGATTTTTGATTGGGATAATAATCGTGAAGATGAAGGAGGAGGAGAATTTTTCAGAAAGAAGAAGGAAGCATTCTTTGCTAGTGGAGGCCGGAAACTGAATTCCTCCTCTTCCAGAAATGGCAGGATATTGGGAGTCTCAAGAGACAAGAAGCAACCCAACATCCATGAGAAAATAATGGGGTTAGTTTGCTCTGATTCGAAGTTGGTTGTGGGAAATAATAAAGCAAATGATAAATCAGATAACAGCTTAAGAACACACTTAAAGGATTCAAATTCCAGAAAGAATCTTATTAATGAATTGGATAAGCAGTCAAATCTACATGAGCATGGGATGTCAGATATGCCAACTGACATGCATGCACAAGAAACAACGGAGATACGCTTTGACACACAAATGGCAGCCGAAGCAATGGAAGACTTATGCTTTGGATTGCTTGTGACTGGTCATGAATCCACCAAAGCTGATGAAGGTTGCAACCATATGCCAAAGGGGTTTTATAAAGGAGAAGCGCAGGAGAAATCACTTACAAAACGAAGTCGTAAAGCCCTACCCTTGCCTGATGATGGAGCCAGAACAAGACAATCCAAGCTAAAGAGGATTAATGGTCAATCTAAGGAAGCGACTGCTGCTCCATTACAACACTCTGCAAAAGTTAGGAAGCAACATGACACCGTACCGGTTAAAGAACTTAAGCGGGTCAAATCAGCTGGTAAAAAGAAAATTGCCTGCAATCAGAGTGAGAATCTTGACAATCTGCCGAAAAGAAGAGGAGAGATGTCTCTGAAGAGAAGAGAAATTGACACAACAGATGCTCCTGTTGAATCGGGCGACCAAATGTCATTCAAGAAACAGTGTATTCAAGGGGCACTTGGACATGTTACACCTGTAGCTCGGCGAACTAGGCGGTCCATGAGAGTTAATGAGTCAGAGAAGTCGAAGGATGCTTCAAGTGATCTCACAGAGGAGATAAATATTCTGACTGGATTTGTCCCTAAAGGCAAAAGAACATGCCAAAAGTTGTCACCTGCAAGACAAAAAGTTGGTAGCCAATCTATTTCAAGATTGACGAGGTCAAAAGTTGCTATTCTGAGTAAACAAGGAAAAGGATCTGGTGATAATCATCACGGAAATGGTCAGGCTAATACCTTGCCATGTTATGAAGAAGCAAGGGCAAGTCCTAGGCTAGAAGGATCCCTTAGAGTAAGGAACGAACCAATTCCTTCAGCATGTGCTACTCCTGTCAGTCGTGGGACACCTGTAAAGGAAGCATCTCCAATCTGCATGGGAGACGAATATCTTAAGCAGTCATGCAGGAAGAGTCGTATAAGGTCATCCCTTATCCAAGAAGTCTGTAGCTTAGCTTCTGCAGGAGCAACACTTATATCTCCGACCAAAGATACAAGGAAGAGGAGAGATGTTTCTTTGATTTGTGTTCTGTTCAGTCGTCACTTAGATGGAGATATCGTCAAGCAGCAAAAAAAGGTTCCATGTTTTTGTTGTATCTTCTACTTGAGTACTGATCTTATTCTTGGTTGCTAAGCATTATTAATATAACTGTCACAGATCTTATCTCGGTTGGGGGCTTCAGAATCATTTTCGATGTCAGATGCAACACACTTCATAGCAGATGACTTTGTACGTACAAGGAATATGTTGGAAGCAATTGCTTTGGGGAAACCAGTAGTTACACATCTCTGGCTTGAGAGCTGTGGACAAGCTTGCTGTCACATCGATGAGAAAAATTTCATACTGAGAGATGCTAAGAAGGAGAAAGAATTCGGATTTAGTCTTCCAGCATCATTGGCACGTGCGTGTCAAAATCCACTTCTGAAGGTAATAAATTAGTGCTTTTGGATTTATTTTTATCTAATGTCGGGGTTGCTCTTTAATAAATCAAAATTTCTATGCAGGGACACAAAGTCTTGATTACACCAAATACAAAGCCTGGTAAAGATATATTAGCAAACTTGGTCAAAGCAGTTCATGGTGTGGTGCGTAATTTTCTCTTGCACATTGTTCTGTTACATGAAATTAGTGTTAAAATCACGATAATCCCTTGAGATGATTTGTTACACATAAGCAGGTTGGTAGTGTGGTTAATCTTTACTTGCTCGTAGAACACTTGTACGAGCTTTTACTTATTATTTCATCAGGATTTTTCCAGACTAACAGTGTAAGAAATTGTAAAATCTAAAGAAAATAAACCCTACCACACAAATTATGGTCATGAGATATTAAATAAATAAATCTTCCTTGAAGTTTGGCATGTTCAGTATGTAGTAGCTTATGATTTTTTGGCTGCACACACACTCATATATCCTGTTGGAGCTGTGACTCAGCTAATAACCCTTGAGCACTCGCTAAATCTCCAGCCACATAGATCATGCTTATGAGAAAAATGGTTTGAGTGGCATGCTTAATTTTGTGAAGTCATACCCAGGGAGTGTAGGGACACAAAATAGCTTTTATTGGCAGACGTCCACATTAGGCACAATCTTAGGGGTGTAAAATACCCTAGAACGCGATGGTGTAAGTGTGTAACCTAAAAGAGGACACTCTAAGTACGTTTAGTGATCCAATTGCTAAATAAGATATTGAGATAACTAACAGGAAGCTAATAGGACGTGGAAAATAGAGAGAATACAACTTGCATTTAGGCATCACAATGGAAGTGGTTGGAGAAAGTAAAGGAAGTAGACATTAAGCAAGTACAGAAGGATATTAATGAAAAAAACAGGTGCTAGGGACATAAAGAAGTGCAAGCTAGCCAGGAGTGAAGCTGCTTGTTACCTCCCTATCATTGCTTCACTTCATAATCATGGAGACTACGTTATTCTCATTCCTGCTTCAGCCCATCAATGCAGGCAGTTAGGCTCTTGCTATAGGTTAGGGCACAAGAAACCAGACATGAAAGATATGAAGAAATCTACAAGAAACTAGAAAGGAGAGAGGAGATAGATGCATACAAGCAGGCAGAGGAAGGAAAAGTTAGAACACCAGTTATATCAAATGCATCAAGGATGAGAAACAACGCCTTTTGGCAGTCTATAAACTACTTGGTGATGTAAGAGGAAGTACAAAAGGGTATTAATGAAAATTGGTGCTATAAACTCTTGCATAAAGGAGAGAAGTGCAAGCTAGTCAAGAGGGAAGCTAAGAAACTAGAAGTTACATCAAATGCATCAAGGATGAGAAGCAGCACTTCTTAGTTATCATCTAAAATTGAAGTAAGGTCTTAGAAAGTCCACTTGAATTATGTTCGGGTGATCAACAACATAGGCTATTTTGTTGATTAAATGGCTCATCGAGAGATATAGGGGACAAATGATGTGCATATGGTGTTTATAATCTAGAGAAGGCATCTGATATGGTGTCAAGAGAAGTGATATGCATTGTGTTGAGTTCTTGAGAGGAAGAAAACAAGACCTATGTATTCTTTATCACTATATGTTTTTGTTGAACCTCCTGATCCGACAATCTTCTATATTCCGATCTCGAGTTATTTATCGAATTATTCATCGAACTAGAACTGTTTACTGATTCAGCCCCACCGGTAACAATTCTATTACTCGAGAATGTCGTAAATGACTTTTTTGGCACTGAAAACGATCCTACTTCTTGCACTTCGTCATTCATCACTGTATAGGCTCCCAACTCCACCAAAACAGCTTGTCCTTCTTGTTGGATCAATTTCCCCATTGCTTTTAATGAAATTAACGATTTCCCTAAAGAGGGATCACCTTTCAGCACCACCGAATTTAGGTGGTAATCCTCATCGATAGTGGAGCAACTCACAATTTCGTTTCCAAAAATATAGTAGATAAGTTGAATCTGAAGATTGATAAAACGAAGGAGTATTTTATAACAATGGGGATGGGAAACAAAGTGAAGAGTAATGGAATTTGTAAGCATGTTGTGTTGAATGTGCAAAGTTTGGAGGTGATAGAAGACTTTCTTCCCATCCAATTGGGGAACAGTGATGTGATATTGGGGGTTCAATGGCTGGAAACTTTAGGTGCAACGTACACTAATTGGAAACAGCAAATCTTCTTTTATATGTGAAACGTACAGTAGGCTTATCATAGGCTTGCACCAAGAGTAACCTTGGGTACTTATCTATATTGCTTTAATAGTTGATGAACTTGGGAAAGACATACAAGGTGATGTATCGTTGCATATGCTGTTTTCAATGATGGTACAATGTTTGGCATAAATAACTTGTTGAATCTTATCTCTTGCTCTTTCATAGGAACAGAAGGAAAGTAAAGGCAATCCTTTGATGCATTAGGTAAACCTAAGGCGGCCACGGGAAAAAGTGATTAAGGAGCAGAATTTCAAAATTTGCTGAGCAAGGATTATAATTAAAACTACTTTAATCTAATCTTGTTTCAATATGTGTGCTATAGTTTCTCTAATTTTGTCTCCTTTACATGTTAAATATAAGTTACAGTGAACCAAATGGTTTTACAAGCCAGCGTTATTCAGGGTTTTTAACCTGTGTATGCACCACCCTACAAATTCTTTTTGCGGGACGCACTGCAACAACCATTTGTTTTACACTACTAAACTTTTTCTTGGTTATGCTCATGCATACTCACTTGGTGATATAGATCCACCCTTATTTTGTGGTCTATTACATATTTATCACTTGAAATCATGGGAATTCTGTACAGACTGAATTTAAGCTTTTCAAGGTTTCCCAGTTTCTAAATTTTCCTTGGTACTCGTCTGCTGAAGCTTGATCATGGCATAATCAGTTTTCAAGGGTTTTGTTTGCTCTGCACGTATCTGTTTCTCGTATCTCTCATTTTGCATGCCGTGTAGCTGTGATAGGATTCCATAAACGATAATGAACTACTCTTTTCACTTGTATATTCTATTTCTAAAATCTATTGCTGCTAGCCTTCACACCTTTTCCAGCATGCTTCTAATGGGATTAACCCAACAACCGTGAAGAACTTTCAATTTGTTCTCATGTTCATCTTCTCACTTCTGCAGTTATTTCTTTTTCTTTTTTTGGTATAACTTCCTTCCTCTTATGAAATATTTCAACAACCTGGTGTGATTTTTTTTCAGGCGGTTGAGCGAATGGGCAGAACTGCATTAAAGGATGATAAAGTTCCTGAGAGATTGCTGATTCTATCGTGTGAAGAAGATTATGCGCTCTGTTTGCCTTTCCTTGAGAAAGGTCCAAATAGTTTATATAAACTGCTGTTGTTCAGTAAATAAATTGTAGTTTTGTCAAACATCCGTTAAACTTTCCAATGTCGTACTTCATGCAGGAGCAGCAATTTATAGTTCGGAGCTCATACTCAACGGCATTGTTACCCAGAGACTGGATTACCAAAGGTTGGCCCTCTATTCTAGTAAATTAGTTATAATTAACCAGTGTTCTACTGTTATCTTTTATTTTAGGGAAAAATGCATATAACAGTGTTAGGTTTTGTTTCTATTTAGTGTAACGAATAATTTTTTTCTTTCAATTTTCCCTATTAAACTGGTTTTCAGCCTACATGAATTTAAAAAATGTAACTAAATCTCTTGTTTTTAACAAAAAGATAGTGAAACTATAATCTCACTTGGTAATCCACTGTAATCAATTTCACAATACAGTTGACGACTTGACATGTGTGTCATCAAATGTTACAAGATCGGTAGGTTACAGGTCAAAATGATTGATTTGATTGATCTTTTTCGTACTTTGACAAAGTTCATTGCATCTTTGATGACAGACACCGTCTCTTTTTAGATCACGTGAAGAGAACCCGTTCGACAGTTTGGCTGAAGAAAGATGACAACCAATATAAGCCTGTTGGTAAAGGGAAATAAACGTCGCTATGTTTGATCTTCTGCCGGTATCCGATCTTTCCTTTTTTTTATCTTTTTTTCTTTGTTGTTTTTTGTTTTAGCATGTACATGTGAAAAATAAGTAGCTTTGTTAAATTAGAAGTGCAAGAGCTTGTTTATTACTTTGGACTTCTTTTTCCTGGAATTTTCAAAGAGGTAGGATTGAATGATGACTTCAAAAGTCTCGATCCATTTGGATTTGAATTTCATTTCATTTTGCATTTGATTTAAAGGAAAGTATGGAATTGAAATCATAGTATTTCAAGAATTCCCACAAACATTGGATTTAGAAATCCTATTTTGAGCTTGGCTTTAAAAGTCAAAAATACCAGGGGTCTAGGTTCAAATCCAAGAAGGAATAAAAAATCTTTTTGTGACTACGGAGGTTCAAATGTGCTGACTCCGGGTTATCTGTAAAGCAGGTGGTTGTCCTGGGATTAGTCGGCTCGCATAGCGGGTTGGATATCTAGGTTGATCAAAAAAAAAAAAAAACCTATTTTGGTATTTTAGGGGATTTTACAGCATTTGTCTGTAATAATGTTTTAAAATATGATGAATAACATGTTCTTAAAGATATTTGTTTTATAATAATCAATTAATAAAAGATAGTTTAATTATTTCTGTAAAGAAAGAAATTAAATTCTACTTCAGATTCTACAAAACAAATACATTAAATTATTTCATAAAATTCAAATATTTAAAAAACAATTCGTCAAACCAGTATCAAATGTAGTCTTTTTGGAAATGGCATAGTTTTGTACAAATGGCATAATCTAATCAGACCATATTTATTGTTGAGTTATTTCGTTATGCAATTAACAGGAGCAAATGAAAGTTGATGGATCTTAGGAATTTTTTTTAAATGGTGTTATCATTTCACTACAAGGATCGAAGATATTGAAATTTCGTAATTGCTTACCCAGTAAGCGCTTACCGATAAGAGTCAACACTGATTTATTTTGATGTGCAAGATTTTAGTATATCAAAACATTTCGAATGCAACAATTTACTGGGTAAGCGCTTACCTGGGTAAAAGTCGTCATTCTCACTTACCGGGTAAGATTCTCCATCCTTTTCATTGTTCTTACCCGATAAGATTCTTGGCCCTTTTCATGTTCATCCGATGAGAAACTTTATCCAATAAACACTTACCAAATAAGTGTTTGGTAAACAACCTGTGGTAATCATATATTTATATTCGCTACATTTGTTTTTTCCTTTTACCAAATTTATTCTGTCCACTTTTTCCCCTTTCAATTAACATATTTGTTTTCTATTTAAAAATTTGATATTAAAGTATAAAAGAATATTTTTCATGGTCTTATTATTTATTACAGACAACGTTTAATGAGAAAAAGATCTTTGAAATAATGATAATAAAAAACTATATATAATAACAATGATTTATGATTTGGTAATCATAGTCTTTCTATGTTAGAGCTCTTTACCAATTTTTTTTATTAAGTTTTGTATGGATAAATTTGTCTGTCCGGATAAATTTGTCTGTCTGGATAAATGGGTGGTGCTGTTTATTTTTTTTTTATCTGAACCAACAGTTTGAATAACATAAATGGATTTACCCCCAATATTAATTATTTGAATATCAAAACAAAAAATCACAAAAATACCGAAGATGGAGTGTCTCATATGGGAAGGAGGCGATGCTTTAAATAAGGGGCAAGGGTGTCATTTTTGTGGCTGAATGGGGACAACACATCATTTCTATCTGTGCGATTAAKCCATGTTCTGTGCGAATAAGCCGTAAGTAAACAACCCAAATGAGCTGTACGAATAAGCCAGATAGACCGATAAACCTAATTAAGCCACAAGTAAACAACTATCTTATCTAATAGATGTAAACACATTTTTATTTAACTTATTGGATAAAAAAATTTTGTAAACACATTTTTATTTAACTTATTGGATAAAATTTTATTACATTAAAACAACACCGTACGTGCTTCTTAAAAGATGGGCACCATATGGAACATTTTCATCCGATAAGTGTTTAGCGGGTAATAGTCGTCACTCTCACTTACCGGGCCTTGGTCCTTATGATCGCTCGTATCGGGTAAGATTTTCAATATTTGTCATGTTCATTCGATAAGGTAAATTTACCAGATAAACACTTACCGAATAATTGTTTAGTAAACAAACCCTTGGTAACAAAGATATTGAATGATCGAAAAACGAAACTTAGTATGTCATTGTCGATGTTTCTAGCAATTGTATAAATTGGTGATGAAAACTTCAGTTTTCATTTTTTGATCAAGGGAGAATACAACAAAACTAGACAACCGACACCTCAATAACAACTTCAAAATCCAGATGTAAACTGTGTCAGTATTTTGAATGAATTCTTTCAACTTTGTATCGTTGTCATCTAACCTCGTTTTGTTGATGAAAAGTTTGAACCTATATTTAACCTAGTTTTGCTTAACCTCGACTTGCAATTAACTTTTGGTTCGATTAGCGGTTAACCCCTACAAAAAGCGAACAAAGAAGTGGGATTCCATGTGTTAGAGCACTTGATGATTGGCATACGATAAAGTGATAAATGAGTATGTGAGAATCGAGATTCAGGTTGACTTCTGACATAAAAACGAGCGTGGATATTATAATTTAGATCATTGGGAATTTATACTTTGATATAGGTAGATAATTTCATATTTATCTAGATTACCAGTTTTACCCAAACACTTGTAACCACAAGGGTAGTGCCTGATTGGTTTAAACTTGACTCCAAAGATAAAAAATACCTAGAGGTCCCAGGTTCAAATCCAAGGAGGAATAAAGATCCCCTTGTGGCCACGGAGGTTCAAATACGGTAACTCCGGACTATTTGAAAAACAGGTGATTGCCCTGGGATTAGTCGGCTCACATAGCGGGTTGGATATCCAGGTTAATAAAAAAAAAGTCTAGATATAAGAGTGAACTATAGTTTTGGTCTTCAGAACTCCATGCTCTCGTATTTGGACAAAGTCATGCGCCCCCGTTGCCAAATGAGCTACACGCCCCCGAGGGATCCATTCTCTCACATTCAATGATGGAACAAATACATACCTCTAACAACACAAACCATTGAGATAAAACTGCAAATAGCTTACAAGCAAGAACAAGAAGAAATAGAAAGACGATGGAATCTTTTTCATTCCGAAAAAGTTTTACAACACACGATCGAACAATTTCCAGATCTGGGGAGGTTTTTTCTTCTAGCTAATTGTGGTTTTTCCTAGATGGATGTTTAAATATGGCTTTTATTCAAATATGCATATAAATATATGATAGCCATATATAATAAAAGATTGATATGATCATTGAACCATCAAGTGACTAAAAACGAACTCGGGTTGGTCCTAATCACAACAACAAAACGTAAACAAGACCGATCAATCAAGTGTTATGGGTGGTACTACTGCTACCAGTTGACTGAGAAAGTTGCATGCTTTTTGATCCACTGGGCATACTGGTGGAGATGCCATCATCCATGGTGGTCGAACCAGAAGTCACCTCTGGCCTCAGCTCCGATGAAGAAGATGATGGAGCTAAGGTCCCGATATATGAGCCGACTGGATAGGGTGCGACTGGCATATCAGCAAGTGAAGATGCAGACGGACTGTAACTTAATGTTCCCATTGGGTGATCGAATTTGCACGATGGCCCAAACTTACAGACCCCATTTTGAGCATAATGTGAACAAAGAGGTGCACCCTGAAAACCATCATGTGGAATCAACAAGATTAAAACAATACCACACCATTTCAACACACGCAAAACTTTGTTACGGGAACTGCAAGTTATTTACTTCATTTCACAATGTTTAGGCTAAACCAAACAAACCCAATAATCCCGCCCGGAGGTCCCAGAAAGTAGTTTCCATGAAAAACCCCTGGCTTGTAGAATGTGTCAAGAAAAACATAAAACAAACTCACTTTCAGATGATTTAAAGTAGATGGTTATAAGAAAGAAAATGACACCAATTATGCATACAAACAACCTATCGTATGTTCTTTTTCAGCATTTTTTACACACTATGCATAAGCCGGTGGTCTTCATGAGGTGAGGTTTGCGTACATCTCACCCCTACCAGGCCTCACCTTTTTTTTTTTGGAAGTATATAATATTTATATATGGCAAATGCAACAAATAAACTCACACACCCTCCTCACCTATGGTGAGGTTTGAACCCCTGACCTCCTAGAAGGCCAAGGGCTACGATACCACTAGGTCAAAGGCCCTTTGGTTACCAGGCCTCACCTTCAGGTGGGATATTTTGTGCTTGTTTGGTTTGGTTTGGTTTGGTTTACTTAAGCACACCAACATATCATAATCACGCCAAAACCTCGATGGAGCAAACCAGAGATCATATTTTGACTTTTTAAGGAAAAAAGCGCGCATCAAAGGCCCCTTGACTCGATACAACTTATTTTATCAAATAATAAACGCCTTTCTTTCACCAAAGCAAGAATAAATAAGGCCTTCAAGTAGAGGACTAAAGATTAAGAGATGCACTTACTGGACGTAGAGGAAGGCCCATGGGGCTAAGGACAAAATTTGTCTTTGATACACTCCATTCTGGTGGATGATGATATTTACACGAGGAACCAAATTTACAATCTCCTGTCTTCATGTAAAACTGACATTCAGGTTCACCAGGCCTCTCAGGAAAGTTTTGACTTTTGCTCAAAGGATATGACGGAGATAATTGATTCACTGCATAACCAGGGCCCACTCCAACAATAGGTTGGCTATTAGGAGACGCTGCCGGATGCACAGGCCCCTGCACAATTTGAGATATTATGTGATTCAGAATGAACACAACTTCAGAAATGAAACCCCTTTAAATCTCTCTCAAAAAGACCCTTAACACGCCCCCTCAAATGGAGACAAAAGCTAGACTCCTGCTCTGATACCATGGTAGGATATGTGGAACCCTGTTGAATCTCTCTCCAAAAGAGCCCTTATAGAAAGAGGCGAGGATCCTATATAAATACATGTTTGATGGTCTGCGTCTAGCCGATGTAGGACTCCAACAAGAACAATGGAAAAGAGAAGCATATTGAAAATACCTGGTAAGGATTCCAACCAGGAAATGGAAGCATTCCAGGGGGAACCAGCATTGGACCATAAGTCCCTGGGAGATATGAGCCTGGAAGGAGAGGCGGCCTTCCAACTGGCCAGTTTCCGGCCAAAAACCCATACTGTTGAGAAGATGCAACGGTAGGAGATTGCACATTTGGGTACATAGCAGAAGGCATGGCCGACAAAGGTCCAGGCGAGAGTGGTGGTGGTGGTGATGGCATCATGCCAGCAAGCTGGGGATGGTGAAATTTACAGGTGATGCCAAACTTACATTGCCCTGTTTTCACATAGTATGAACACTCTTTTTCACTCTGAGAGAAAAAGAAAAAGAAAGTTCATGTTGAGTAACAAGTTTCAATATACCAAACTGAACGAACCTAGTATATTCCACTCAAAACCAGAGTCTACGGTGGGATATATGCATACCTCACCTCTACCCCTAGGATAAAGTGGTTATTTCAATATGAAGCTCAAATGGATCAGATAACAATGTTTAAGAGAAAAGAAAGAAAAACTGACCGGGCGAAGTGGATATCCGGACACATTTAGTGCCACTGTGCTTGATGATCCAACCCCGTGTCTAGGATGATGATATTTGCAGGAAGCACCGAATTTGCACATTCCCATTCGCATATAGTACTGGATAGTAAGTCGCATAGTTACCACCAACAATATGAAGTTGGAGTTCACACTCTTCATATAATATAAGCCAAGATGAAAGGGAACATAGCAAGATACTTCATTTCAACCGATACACATTTTTACAGACAAGCTAAGAATACATACAAAACAAAGCTGGATATCGATTTCCGTATAGCAAAAGATTACCACAATCTTGTTCCATATAATTAATATAAGCCATGATGAAAGGGAAAACACCAAATTATGAATACAAGTATAAAAATCATGCAACTTAAAACGGTTGAAGTAGAAAATCTGCGTTCTTTGGCTCTAAAATATAAATCTAACAAGTCAGAAAACCCATATTGCAAACTAAAAATATGCATAAACCTGGACTCAGAAGTACCAAATTCAAAAGTAATGGTTTTTTTTTATAGGGACAACCAATTCTGATCTCAATTTTTCTAGAACAAAATGATCAGATGCATATGTTATCAGATTTTCAATTTGGACACAATGAAAAAAGACGAACTTGTTAGCAACAGCAAACGTAAATCTAAATACCTCCATCAATAAAAAAGATAACACATACAAGAACTAGGATAAGTTAGCATGGTGACATTCTTTGATCTCCATCATTAAAAAGTAGATAAAGAATCCATTTTTAACAATTACACAACTTCAAGTTCAGAAGTATTGAAAAAGACGAGCATAGTTGGATCCTAATTATCTGAAAAATGGATTAATCAAAGAACATATAGCAAGAATCCTTCAAAGCAAGTAGTTCAACAAAATACCTGACATACAGGCTGCCCAATTCGCTCCGGGTACTCCCCTCCTCCGGCCCTCAGAGCTCCAACAACCTGCAGGGATTAGGAAACTTCTTTTATAAATGCATAAAAGATTTATGACCGATGATTTCAAGATAACAAAGTGATAAAAGATTCTAAGAAAAGCATAGAAACTTCCCCAAATTACAAACCATTAATTACTGCACTCAAAATCAAACTCTTTGAATACCCAAATCGGATATGGAACTATTAAATTCGAAGATGAAACTCCCTCACTTTCAAGCAATCCACAGATGATCACATTAAACATACAAGAAATGGCTAAAAAAAATGCAGATATGTAAGCACAATTTCAGCACGGAATTTTGGAAAAGTTTACCGAACCACGGTCACGAGGATGGTTGAACCGACAACGAGAACCATACCCACAAAACCCCGTCCTCAAATAATAGATGCAATCAGCCTCATCTGGCCGTTCAGGATACGATTCCGACCCACCTCCTAACCCTAACTGCCACATGGGCTCTGCATTTTCATCAAATCAAACAACACCAGAAATTTACCAAATTCGCATTACGACCCACGAATTCAAACCAAAATCGCAATTGAAATATCTGAAATGCAAGTAAGAGACGTACAGTGTACTTACCTTCGAGCCCTATTTGGCCACCAGATGAGCTCCATTCCGTAACCGGATCGGACTGCGACATCTCCATTGCAGGCAGGCGCAAATATAATATATGTATATAAAATAGCTATACAAATATACGTATATATATAATTTATCAACACTATACACACGGATTCAAGTAGCTGAAAAGGGTCAAATCTTATGAATGAATGCTATTGGGTTCCGCGATCGGCTTTTATAGTGAGAAAAAAGAAAGGTTTTTTGAGGGTTTCTCCCCCTCTTTATAGGGATCTTTATATATCGTTACTGCTGAACTGTGCGTCTGGTTTTGGTTTTGGTTTTGGCTCCTCTCTCTCTCTCTCTCTACCCTCTTTCTTGGTGGGTTTTCTTTTTTCCTTTTCTTTAATGGATTTTTTGAGTTTTGGGTCTACGAGTTTTCTTTCGTCTGTTAGTTGATATACGCGCCAAATCGAAGAGAGTGGGTTTCTTGATTCTGAATTCCGACTCCTTTTCTTCGAAGAATATGTCGCCCTTTTGATTTCCTACACGTGCACCAGCACCAAGTCCTCTTTTCACCTTGCATCTCGTCTCTTTTCTGAGTCAAACAAGATTGGGTGAAGAACACCCAGTGACATCATACTTTGCGTAGATTCACATCTTGTTTACATGAACCGTCATTCAATTTTCAAATGGGAAAAATATCAATTCTCTTATCAATTATTTAAGGTTTTCCTTAACATACCCATTTGACTTCTTCTCTCTATTTCCCACTCTTCCTTTCTATTTCTGAATTTTATAAGTGACAGAAAGTGTTATAAAAAGCTCACGACAGCAGCCGTCTTGTCATACGCTTGCGATAGCTCAGACCTTATATTGGGGAGGTGTTTGGTTCACAGAATAATTTTTGAAGGAATGAAATATGTCAAAGGAATTAGAATCCGTAAGGAATTGTAATGGAATGTTATAAGGTTTGACCAAATATTTGGTTGGAATGAATGAAATGTAATCAGTTTAATGAATTGGAATCTGTTTGTTTGGTTTGTAACTGAATTAGAATGGAATGATGAAAAATGACAAAAAATACCCTTAAAGTTGGATATGGAAGCACCCATTCATATTTTCAATTACATGGATTCCAATTCCAAGATTTTTTCTTCTTGTGAAATTTGTTGGCTTTTGTTTATAGGGTTTCTTCTTTTTCTCTTTCTTTCTGTGTTTCCGTTTCATCGGAGATTCAATAATCAATAAGCAAGTAGTAATCGACAGGCGTGAAATTTGTTGGCTTTTGTTTATAGGGTTTCTTCTTTTTATCTTCCTTTTGGTATTTCCGTTTCCTCGGAGATCCAGAAATCGATAAGCAAGCAGTAATCAACAACAAGCAGTAATCGATAAGCAAGCAATGATCGGGAAGCAAACAGTAATCAGGAAGCAAACAGTAATCGGGAAGTAAGCAGTAATCGATAAACAAACAGTTATAGGGAAGCAAGCAGTTATCAGGAAGGAAGAAGTAATCGGGAAGCAAGTAGTTTTCGTCTTGCAATAATGTTTCGTTTTTTTGGAAGCAAGCAGTAATCAATAAGCATAAATTGGAAGAAGCATAAATTGGAAGCAGTAATCAATCGATGATGAAACTGGAAGCATCATGAGGGTATTTTTGTCATTTACATATTTTTGGATGGAATGGATTTCAATTCCATCAGTTTAGAAAGGAATGGTGAAATCCTCAAATAATGGAATCTTTGGAATTCAATTCTATTCAATGGGTAACCAAACGTTGGAATGAAATTTGGTCAACGGAATTGACCATTCCAATTCCACCAAATTCCGGCAGATTCCGACGAACCAAACGCCCCCTGAGAGTTAATAGAAGTCGTTGACGTTTGTGTTTTAAGAGGTGATAAAGTCTGAAGTTTGATTTTACTTCTGAATATAATCCTGAAGTCTAAAATATGGATCAGTAAGATTGTTTGTTTTTACGTCTGAAATCTGATCGGTCAACTAGATCAAAAATATAAAAGATAAATAGTTTTTACTAACAAATTTATTCCATCCCCAAAAATACGAACCATTTGATAGAAGGCAGATTAGGATTAACTATTGAGAGGTATTAAGGGATACGTTTACCACTTAAAATTTCAGAGAACATTTAGAGCTTTTAAGCTATTATTTCAGAGGTACTAAAAGGTAATTTTGAAAAAAACAAAAAGACCCTTAAATATGGTTTTTATGAGGCGTTATTTGATTTTTTTTTTACATTTTTAGTTTTTAGTAAATTATCCAAATTAAATTGTTTAGTGTCATTAACTATAAAAGACAGATTCATAGGGAAACTGTAAAAAAAATAAAAATTGAGGAACACTTTATTAATGATTAATCTGTACGACATGCTCATGTGCATACATTTAACTAATTTATCCGGATGTTATACATTGTAACACCCATGATTCTTGGAAGTTACATCTACGTTTATGGTGTTTGTTTGATCATTAAGATGGAAATTTAATAAGGTTTTATATGGATATCATACTAGTATGCTTGCGGATTAAATCGGGTGTGAAAAAATAGGAAACAACTGCAAGAATGGAAACCCCGTGACCTGGCGTGCGGGTCGCCCCTAGGCCGCGTAAGTCACTGGAGGTGGGGCAAGAGGCACATGCGACTTGCCGGCAGTGTACATAGGTCTTTTAAATCTGATTTTCTCACTTTTATCCTTATTTATTCTCCTACTTTTCGTCTCCACCTTTCCCTCTCCAGGTTTGAGGGTTTAAGAAACTTTTGGTCCAATTTTAGGAGCGTAGGGAAGCATCTCTTGGTAATTTAGGACCTACCAAGTTGAAGGTACGATTTCTCTTCTCCAACCAAAAGCTAGGGTTTAAGTGTTATTCATCCCCTTTCTATTCCTTCCCATTTCAATGTGACTTACGGAGTATATATGGTAGAAGAAAGCTTGTGGAAACATTGGAGCTAAATTTTGGAAGGCTGTTAGGGGATCTCAAGTCTTCACCAGATGAAGCTCAAGATTTGGGTTAAAAACCTAGATTTAGCATAAATCTAGCAAGATGATTTGCAGTTCTTTTACAAAATTATATACATGTCAAAACATCTTCATTTTGAGTTTTGAACACATCTCCATGAGTTTATTTCACTTTGATAAGTGTTGTGTGATTTACTCGACCTCTAGATTCATATAAATAGATCTCAGAGCAAGTATATACATTGGTCTATTGTCATCACTTAACAACCAATAACGGTAAAAGTATCGAATATTGATCCACATGGAAGACTTGTAAAAGTTTCTCAAAAGTCCAATCTCTAAAAAACCAATTTCAGATGGCAAAATCGAATAATTTGTTTCTTGTGTATGTGACTTATCAGCTAGAGAAATAAGTCATAAAGAAGAAGCAAATAGTGCAAAAGGTTTGTTAAAATAAAAACAGATGATTCAATAAAAGGGTGATACAACATTCTTGGACAGTCCAATAGTACCACATAATAGTCCTATTGTACAATCACAAATATCTAACTATCAGTTCAGACATCCTTCCAGGAGTCCACACAGGCCCATTGCTATCAATACGACATTATTTATGTTAAACATCATGAATCCTAGCACGACACAGTATTACCATCTTACACCGTAAGAGTATAACACTTGTCAAGTACTAAAACCCTTTATAGTCTTCTAATATTATCTCAGGTTTTCATATTTATTATAACTCTAAAACCTAATACATTTTTATATATTTAGTTGTCAATTAATTAAATGCAATCTTCAATGAAATATTAATAACCTGAAATAACTAGTTAGACAACAATGCTACATTTAAGACACCTTTGTACTTTTACAACGTTTTTGGTCTTAACTTTCCCTTACACCCCCAAGCTAAGGTGATTAGCCATCATCATTCGAATTCTTCTTGCGAAATATCTAAGGTCTGAAAAAAATAACGAAGATGGAAATACATAAAGTAAACTACAAGTATTAAAATCAAGAAAGGAAACTTGTTGTGCAAGTTCCTAATTTCTTAAGTGAATACTAAAAGTAAATTGTTGGAAATGTAAATGAAGGAATGTAAATTGCAAAAAGTATAATTGACAAAAATGTAATACGATAAATGTAACGCTTAAAGCAGTAAAGTAGAGTAAAGAAATGAAGAACAGTGTTGAAAGGTGTTGTAGGAGTCGATAATTTGCACGAAAAGTTTCGTTCAAAAACTTGAATACTTGCAACAAACACTTAGAAAACAAGCTTTCATCTGTTTAGACACTCGCCACGGGCCACGAATGAATTGGGATCCAATGTAATGCCACAGTTTCAAGGTTTTGTTCTAAAAGTGAAACCGAAAGTAAACAAACATACTAAAACAAATTAAAAGGACATCGAAGTACTTAGGTGAAACTTCGAAACAATGGTTTCAACAAATTAGACACTAGTCATGAACCACAAATGGATTTGAGGTCCAATGTAAATGGCCACGATTTTAAAGACTAGTGTAATAGTGAAACCGAAAATAAACCAAGTAATAAACCATAAGTAAACACATTTAACAATAATAATCAAAGGAAATCAACTCTTCTTGAATTATTTTGAGAGTTGGAACAAAAGGAGACAAGCTTCCGCTTGGATGTTTTTCAAAACACAAAAAGTTACCACTGGAAAGTAGTTAAATTATAACTAGACAAGTAAGTAGCAAGAGTCATAATTAAGTTACTAATTGCAAAATGCAAGTGTAAGCGTATTTTTCAAACAAAGACATCATCACATCTTCTTCAAAGAAGGCCAAGAGACTTAGGCCCCAAGTTTTCAAAATGAAGTATACTGGGGATTAGTGATGGCCAAACCGGCTCGGCCAGGGACCAGCGAAGGACCGGGACCGGAACCGACCAAGGACCAGCCCGATTTTTAAAAAGTACCTTTTTTTAAGTATAGCCATTATCTATTGTTAGAACCTTTGTTATGGTACCAGATTTATCATAAACTAGTGTGAACAGATAGAGGCCTGCTTCTACGAGGAGACCCCAAGAGCCCTAAGACCCAAGGACCTATCTTTGACCATTAATGTATATACCAAACACCAAGCTTGA